TGTTTGAAAAATCAAAAAATAAAATAAATTTATCAAAAATAATATTTTAAAAAATCAACTATTAAATTAGAATTTCTATTAACATAACTCATACAAACAATAATTAAAATTTTTTTATTAAATAAAAAATTTTAATTATTATTCATATAAATTATTAAATTTTCATCTGTTTGAAAAATCAAAAAATAAAATAAATTTATCAAAAATAATATTTTAAAAAATCAACTATTAAATTAGAATTTCTATTAACATAACTCATACATACTAATTTTTAAATTATTTTAATAGATATAATCAACTTTGTTTTTTTTTTTTTTTTGAACTGATTTTACAAGAGATTGGATTCGAACCCCAGCCTTGAAGGAGGGGGAATGCACCATGGGTGGCTATTGCCACTTGGCCCGAAGGGCTCGGTGCGATATAATCAACTTTGTTGTTATAAGAAATTCGATAGTATTAAATGTCTATTAGTAAATAAAATTTTATTGATTAAAGAATTATAAATGTTAAATTAATATAAAAATTAACATATATAATCTACTTAAATTAAACTTTTAATATATCTATTAATTTTTAAAAATATTATTTAAAATATAAGTTTTCAAACAAAACTTTCAAAATTTTTTTAGAAAAATGACTTATTGTTCATTATCGTTTTATGTTATTATATAAAAAGTAATATTATGTCATTATATAATTAATTTTTATTATTTATATGATTTTTTTTTGAACGGGTTTGACAAAGGGGCTCGGTGGAACCCCAGCCCAAGGGAAAGGGAAATGCACTGTGAGGTAGCTATTATCACTTAACTCGAAGGGTTCGGTGCTATTATTTATATGATTTAATATTTGAATTTTTTGTACTTTTAATCATAAATATAGAATTTATTATAGAAAACATATTGATGGGAATATCAACTACCTAAATAATTTAATTGTAATATATTTTGTTGTAAATAAAAGTTCTTAAGTTTAAATCGCATGATATACAGGTGGACTGAGATAAGAGATAAAAAAAATATACCTCTCATTATGCAACAAACATAAAAAAAAAAAAAAAATCTTGATGGGACCCGTTAAATTGGGTGACTTTAACGGTGGAGATAGCTTCGTGGGAGTAGATAGATGAGAATAAAGCGATCCACATGATGCAGCAGTAAACACAGGAGGAGTGCAACTTTATATCTCAGGGCGGAATTTTGTTCTGCGGTGGTGTGGGGCTTTGTAGGCTGTAAGGCTGCTCGGTACCCACCGGTAATATATCTCCGGTGGGGCCAAACCCAACCTGTCAATCGACGGCTCCACCACTCATCCGGCCTTCTAATGGGGCCTACCACAGGCATCTTCCTTCCAAAGTGGGGGCCATTCAAACGCAATTGCAGCAGGTGGTGGCTCCCGCCATTAATTTCCACCGGTCTAAGGAGGAAGCACCATGGCACTGGGACCTCTTCAGTTCAGACTCACCCCCTTCTCTTCTCTTTCGGCTAAAAACCTACTTTGAATCCTTTGTTTTGACAAGTTTATATGTTTTAGGCCCTTAATTTATATTAAGATAGTTTTAATTTTTCACTTATATAAATGAAAGAAAATGACTCTTATTTAATGTGAGATTATGATCTTCATCAGTTGATTATTAACAAAACATTAAAAGTTAATTGATAAATTATTAACGGTGATAAAAATAAAATTAATAACATGTTAATAATCAGTTAATAAATATTATAAATTTATATTAAGTAAAAATTATTTTATTTAATTCGTAAATATAAAGAGTTATTTTATTTAATTTATAAAAATAAAAAATAAAAAATATTATATTATAAAATAAAATAAAAATTTATAAATTTATTAAAGTAAACGAACCGAAAGTAAATTTTTACCCTTCTCCCCTAGGGTGGGGGTTGGGACCCCCACCACCTTGAGGGTAGGGCCACGATGGATATTAATGGCTATGAACCCATGAGGACCATGAGTCCATGTCCACTAACCGACTTGCCCGTTGCTGATAATAATAAAAAACCACTGGCCCACTTGGCCGATAGTGTGGTCCCTTTAGGATGAGGGAACCCTTGTCTAGGGTGGGGGTCCTACAAATTGCGTGCTTAATGTGCGTTAACCCCACCCCATTTTGTACTTTTTATGGCCTAGCCAACCCCAGGCCACCACCAGCAGCACCCAGTAATGGCACATTGACACGCCACCATGGTAATTAAATATTCAAAATTTTTTTTCAAACCTTTGTTGTTAATGCAGTGGAAAAAAAATTTCAAATAAAAATGTAAATTTTATATTTTTATTTAAAAATATTAATTTTTAATTTACTTATTTTAATGTCAATTTTTAATATTTAAATTAAAAAATTTATTTATTATATTAATATTATCATTTAATTAATTTTTAAATAAAAATATTTAAAATAATATTTTTAAATAAAAATAAAAAATTAATATATTTATTTACTCCTTTTTCTCAGAAATAGTGGCCCAGTGGAGCCTGAACCGTCTTAATGGATGGGACCAGAGCTGTTAGAAGAGATAGGCCACAGGTGGGTCCACTACAAGAACCAGCAGCAAATTGGAAGCAAAAACCTACTTTTCTTTCGATTCTCACCTTAATTTTATTAAGATTTTAATTCATTATCAACATTTTTAACCCCTTTACCTTACCAGATTTAAAAGTTTTAATTTATCATCTTTTATTAAAATATTTTAACTCTTGAACTATTAAAATTAAAAAAAATCTCACTTTGTAACATTTTATTAATTTTATTAACTAATTATTAATTTTATTAATTAACTGTTAATTAACTAATAACTAACAAAAATCTTCTTTTAATTAATAAAGTTAACATAACTAACTTTATAATATTTCATTCATTCTGTTAATTAACTATTAATTAATAATTAATTAATAAAAATTTACTTTTAACTAACAAAGTTAATAACCAATATAAATTAATGATTATTTTCTTCAATTTTAATAGATGAGAAGTTAAAACCTATAAATCTAATAAAGTGAAGAATTATAAATGTTATAAGATAAAGATAAAATGCTAAAACCTTCAAACTTGATAAAGTGAGAGGTTAAAGGTAGCTTTTGTCCAAATTAAAATTTGTTACCAACAGCTTCGGTTCAGGACTTACCTTACTGTAAAGATTTAAGTAGTTTCTTAATTCCAAACATGAAAATTTTTCTTGAGTTTTTAACTTAACATCTTAAAACTGATGAGCTCAGTTGATGATATACAACAGGAAGAGTTGAACTGAAAATGAATGATTCTGGAGCTCAGGCTTCACCTAGAGATGTAAAACTGCTAGAAGGCATGATTCTGGCAGCTTCATTGTTTATGATCCTGACATGTACGTGTACCGTGTTTGAGCACCAATTATAAGCTCCATGATTTTTGCTACAGAATCAAGATGGCGTTTAAAAAACATTCATGTTGGAAAGAAAGATATTAGTTTAGTTAATAACTACAAAAGCATGAAAAGAGTTGCAATGGATTTTAAAATTGAAATGAATGTGTTTAATGGAACATACCTGCTAGAGTCCCGATTAGAGGAATGGGTTCTAATTGGCTTTCAGTGCTTTCGAGTTTTTGCCTGAAATATTTAAGCAGCATATGCTTGCAAGTTTGTCAAATTACTTTAGGAGGAAAAGAAAAGTTAAAAACAGAATAACAGGTGTAACTTGTAACTTTGGTCAGTTGTTGGTACCTGGTATACTTGCTAAAGAATGGTTCTCTCATGAGATAAAGTGCCCACAACAGTTTCCTTCTTTTTAACTGAATCAAACAATTGAAATCAGCATAACTCCAGGATAAAAAAATCAATCAAAGAATAATATAAATCCATACTTTCAGGAACAGGATGACTGAATTTATCATGATTCACACCAAGTTTAGTAAGTTGGATCCAATAGAAAAGCTTGGAAGATGATAAACGTTAAAAAACCCAACCTCGTCATTTTCAGCGGCAGAAAGATGCTCTTTCCCATCTTTCCCTGATTGTTTGGCATGTAATAGAAAGCTCATTCCAATAAAATCCACAGAGAGAGAAAGAAACCAAGGAGTCCATGATCGAATTCCATATTTTCTAATGAACAAAACATAGATAAGTGGCCTCATAATAAAAAGGATCTCTCCCGTAACAAATAAAGCCCCATTAAGACCCCTCTCGGACAAAATCTTGGAGAGAGTAGGCGTTTCAAGCTTCAGAGCTGCAAATAATGAAATTGCAAGAATCAACATGCTTTCCCTGTCAATTTTAGCTAGTTATTTTAACCAGTTATATAGTTCTAAATAAACAATCACCTGAAGGCTCCGTAATTGCATGCTGTTGTTGTATTTTTCGCATCCATGGTGTATCAGAACCCAACCTAGCATGTTCTCCAAATCTGCTCAAAGCAGATAATGCCCTTCCTTCTAGATTCCATGGGCTCTTGATATGATTATTTTGTAACCAACCAGGCCCATTATGGCCTCCATGCTTTTGAAAAGCTCCAACTCTGTGCTGAGAACTTGAACAATCTGTGTGCTCTTCAAAATTTAGGGTTTCTCCTCCATGCAGAAGCATCTTATATCCACTGTTCTGGAACAATGCTAGCCTCACTAATACCCTGATTGAACACTAAGTACCACTTGTTAGGCATATAAATAATGTGGGTTTATGATGATAAAGCAGTGGCAGGCTTTTCGAAGTTAAGAGTGGATGTAACTAGATTATCTTACTTGGCAGCTTCTGTAATAGCAATGAAATTCCATTTTTTATCACCATAGTACTGCTCAGCAACAACTTCAACCAAAGTTTCCAAGTCCTTTAGGGCAGATAGGCACAATGAATAAGGGAATGAAGAAGGGTCTACAGAGCTGGTTTGTCTATGGTTAGTAGGGGCTGTATCAATTATGTGCTC